CGCACTCACTCGCGAACGGCATCCGGGCCCGAAGGCACCACCTCGCTCGTTTCGGAAACAAAGTGGCTTGAATTCCGCCGGCGCGTCTATCGCGACGAGCGATCGCAATGAGACACGTATACATATCTTAAACAACACACATACACACGCAATATATACATATATATATATATATATATATTCTCAATCGCCACTCTCCGTGCCCATCATTGTGCTGGTGGCGTCAGTAGACAAGGAGAGCTGTGTTATTTCACGGCAGCGCGGAGTCCAAGCTGCAGCCGGCTGCAGGTGCAGCCGCTTCTCCACACTCGATCCCGAGACGTTTCGGCGTGCATTGTGATCGAGTGATATAATAAAGGCTCTCTGGCGGCCCGTGGGAAACGTGGATAACGGGGCCACCTGACGCACCGCTGGCGACGATATATATTTATAGTTCTCGCGTGCGTGTGTGCGTGCGCGCGCGTATAAAAAATGTGCATCTGTGAGCGTGCGCGCCGTGAGTCTCTGTGCGTATCTGTACGCACAAAAGATGCACGTAGGATGCGCGAGTCTCGTTTCCAGAAGAGAGAACTGATCCCAGATGCGCGTCTCTTACAAATTGCCACACGTCGACTTTCTTACAATACGCGACTTTCGGCATCGCCGTTCAGTGCGGATGTGCGGAAGGCGCACCGGTGATCGCAGGGTCATTTTTGTCTCCCAAAGTAAATTGGAATCTCAGCGAGCAACTTCCTCTCCGGTGCTTCCGGTTTTCGAGAATTTTGGCAACTCGGCTTATATCTCTCGGCTTCTCCTTGTGTGATGACTGGGAGGTATAATTCTCGAGCGATCTTCAGCGAAAATGTGACTTTGAGCGAGAAATGACTTCGTCCGCGACTGCAGAATCATCATCACCGCCATGCTCTGCGCGACGTTCAATGGCGATTATTATCACAGACCCGCGGTGTGTAAATTTGGCAATTAAAAGCTGAGGAAATTGCATCTCGCGACGGGCGCGTTAATAGCGTCGACGTAATCGCTCGCAAGTTGGACCGACTATAATTATGCTTATCGATCCAACAACAGCGACGCTATTGGAATAGATAATACACGGCAGATGATAGAAAGATTATTAGTTACCAGATGACAGTCTATGAGCCGGTAACAATTAGAGATATCATTAGCGGAGAGAAACCTCTATACAATGTCTGGAATTAAAGTATCATGGGGGCTGACGGGTTACCGAAGATTACAGTGTACAACGAAGCATTAAGGCAGGCCCTCGCCGTGCATTCAATTCAACATGCCGCTTTTGAACTTGTAAATTAATAACGCCGTCGTTACAGACGGACGGACGTTGAATGGAGAAGGAAAAAGCGGAAAATACATCAAGTGAAAACGACGCAGCTGGAAGTTATTAGTAGGGAAGACACGCGCATAATGACAAACGATCGCACGGCGCAGGACGATGCCGTGAGAGTGTCTTGGCATTAAATAAAAAATAGGACACGCATTATGTTGCAAGGATAAGAAAAATAAGCGAAATTTTCAGGAATAGCGCGACACTCACAGTAGGAAATGAGAAAAACCAAGTAAAAATAAAATTAATCCACTTCCGTTTTTGAAATCGAAAGCCAAAACGGGAACAACCTCCCTATTAAAATATCAACGATATTTTAATCGGTTAACAGAGCCGGCGCGCTGCGTCGTGTACGATTATCGCGTGCGATCCGCGCAATATGTCTTCATTGATATCGAAGGATATTATTATTTCCTCAGAGAAATCGTTGTTGCATTGAACAAAGCGTGTAATATCGCGTTGCGAAATTTTGACAGTATGCTTCGAAAACATAATTTTCACTCTATCGCGTGTCTTACGTGAACAAAATCTCCGAAAGGAATTACGTGAATGGACAAGTCAAATATCGAAGAATGCGATGTAGAATCGACGAGACGAATGGCCCGGAAACGAAGTCCTGACGCGGCCCACGTGAGCTATTGCTTTTGTTATCCGCCTCGTTTCTCCCGTTCAGCAGCGAGCTGATCGGCGCGCAATCGGCGATCTCACGCGGCGCGACCGCATCGAAAAAGTCCGCTCGTGCGAAAGAGCGATCGGCCGATCGACGGGCGATTTGAATGTTCGATCTCACTCACCTCTACCTACCTACCTACCTACCTACCTACCTACCTACCTACCTACCTACCTACCTACCTACCTACGCAGCCGTCTCAAATCACGAGAGCGTCACGCGCGTTGTACGCACACCCTCGCGTAGGATCCACAACGTCGGGAATAACCCCGCGAGTTATTCGAATCGTCGACTCTCTCTCTCTCTCTCTCTCTCTCTCTCTCTCCTTTTCTCTATCTCAACGGGACACCGAGGCGGTATCCTGCGGGGCACTGCGTGGTGCCGCGGTGCTATCATCCCGGTGCTTTCACCGTCGTCATCATCATCGTCGTCGTCATCTGGCGGCTCTTATTCTTCCGGTCCGCGGTCTTAATGGACGGATCTGTCATAACCCGTTTCAGCACCTTCGTCAGTCTCGACAATGAGTCGCGGTAATGACTTGCGATCCACCATCCTGCGCGAGATCGCAGACGGTGATTTCACGGCGGTAAAATCGCCGATATCGCCGGATTAAATCCTGGCCGGACAGATCCACGCGATCCTTATCCCCCATTGTGCATTTCCTCAGATCTCAGTTCGTAAGTGGATTAATCCTCGGCTCGAAAAGACGCATCTAATCGAAGAACGTTTAACGGGATGATAATCGATATCAACCCTTACGGGAGAGTCCGGTCGACTCTTTTAGTGATCTTTAAATTAAAACTGTTTCGTGTATCGAATTCCACATACAAGTAAAATTTCCATTGGTCCCCCAGAATCTATGCAGATGTTAGACAATCGAGGCGGACAATAGGTCGAATATTTCGACTCCGGATCTTTCAATTTCACCCCGATGACGTATACGCGTCGGCGGTGCATTCTCACGATGCAATCCACTCGGCGAGCGACGCCGTCTCGCCTTTTTCGGCGCGACGGCGACTCTCATACTCGACTCACACGCCGCGAGGTTCGATTGGCGATCGGTTTCACGACAAATTGAACGGCCGCGCGTGAGAGCACGGCGCGCGCGCATACAACGTCCCACGATTTTTCACAATCGAACCGAACCTTCCGCTGCCGCCGCCGCCGCCGCCGCCGCCGCCGCTGTCGCTGCGAAACGCCCCGACCACTTTCTTGGATTAAACATCGCCCATCGGCGAGATTAATAGCCGTCACGTTGCGCTTCGCTTAACGCCGCATTCATGCGCCGCGAGAGAGCCGCTTGCGTACGCGCGCGTGAACATGCGTTCAGCGGACCCGTTCAGTTGTTTCCCTACCCTGAAGAATGATCCGTCGTCTCTCGGTGGAACCGTAAGGAGCTACAATGCCCGGGCAATTCCCGTAGGTAAACGCGTTTTACATATGCATACAAAGGCGCGATTTCCGTGCTCCGCGCAGAGACTTGCGAAAAGAAAGTATCGCCGCGGAACGACGTCCGAAAACGACGACGACGACGACGAAGACGACGACGAGGATGTGGACTCGCGCGCGCACATGCACGTCCATAGAAACGTCGCCGGAAAGCGGCGTCCATTTACGTAGCCGCCATCGGCTGGGATTAATGGCTCTCGTGGGTCTCCTTTGGCCCCCGAGATACCACATCGCGAAGACGACGCGTAATCGAAACTTGCGTACGACTCCTCAATGGGCGAGCGACAATTTGCGGTGGCGGCGGCGGCACGTGCAACGCCGTCCCTTAACGAGCGCAAGATTTATTCGGTATTTGTATCCGCATTTTTCGACGGAGACCGAGCGTACGTTCCGCCGGACGAGAGCGATAAAAACGTTAAGTGCGCAAATAAGAGAAAATCGTTCGACGGACGCGTCGTTATTTGCTCAAGTCGATATCTCCTCGCGTGCTTTACTATGTTTCGAAGCCGAGATGCAACGATAAAAGTTACAACGGTTGCAACAAAGTTGTGGCGCTCTTGTGATCGGATGACGGTTTACCACGGTGGAATCGTCCCATCTCGAAATTTTGGTTGCTTGTTAACTCTGCAAGTTTCTACGAATTCGGAAAGATATATATATATATATATATATAATTTGTATAAAGATATATATATGTATTTATATAATTTATATTTTTATTTGATAAAATTTATATATAAATAAATTTTATATATCGCTCGCTCACGCTTTCCTGCTCTCGCACATTATTCCTTTCTAATATATATAAAAAATTTATTAAATAGAGATATTAATTATATATATATATATATATGATAAAGATTAAATTATATATGTTACGTATATATAATAATATGTTGAAAAATTAAATAAATGTATGAGGATAAAAGTAAAATAACGGATCTTGCCTCTCCATAATCCATTTATTTAATTCTTTTCATTCGCGTTGAGCAAATGTATATGTATAAATTATTTATTTCCGTCGCGGTAAATATACAATTGCAAAAGTGCAATATTAATTAACGCGATGTTGCCAAGAGTCCGATTAAATATTTCGAGACCCAACGAAATATTTTGCATAAAATGTGATGTAACGCTCGGTTATGATGAAAAAAGAGAAAAACACGACACGTCTACCGCGAGACTACCAAAAGAATCAGCAAGAAATATCAACATATCCCCTCTTATCAATCGCTCGGCGTTCGGTACGGTATGCGAGGTAATCACACAATCAAACGGACGCGGACCTTGACAGAGGTCAGTTTACCTTCGTACGTCGCGACGCGTCGCGAACTTTTCCCAGTGTTTTTATTACGTGTCGAGCCGGCGGGCGACATGTATGTATCGGCACGTTATCTCTTATCCCTGTCGAGTGATTAAAATACTTCGTCGGCCCTTGCAATACCTAATCAGACTGTCGTCGGTATCGCGTTATTTAACTCTTGTCTTCGATCGAATTATACCACTACGCGAGTGTCAGTGTCAGTGTTAATCTTGTTCTAGTGCCAGTGCCACGACGGAGCAGCCAGGATGTGGAAAGTTAAGATGGAGGATGTAGGATAAAGGAAGCAGGACGCCAGCAGCATGGTATGTCATACATTTTCGAGGTGTGTCAAATAATTTATTACGTAAAAGGTTTCCGTTTTAACGGACATTTGACAAATTCGATGGAACAAAGAAATACCCGAGTCGAAATTTAGGCCAACATTCGTAACCTGTCATTACTTGATACGTAATTATAGTTTCTATGAATCTCCAATCATTCGTTAATTTGTGCCTATGCTTATTATGTATTATCTTTTCGTTACTATATATATTATAATATTTCATATAAAAGACATTGATTCGGATGTAGTTGAATAATGAATCATGAATACGAGTCTAATTATATTCTCAATTAAAATCTTAAATTAAAATTTACAGCTACGAATATCGGCCTTATAATTTAATATAAATCTAACAAGAGTGCTGATTTTGTACGTCTAATAACGCTCTTTTGTCTATCAGTCTAATCTCGTTTACGTCCGTTTCCTTTTTTATTTCTATCTAATCTTGTACGTAGACTCAAAATTTAAATCTATATTAGTAAAGAAAGCATTATTGGAAAGCATAACTGTTATTTTTACCTTTGCAGCTTTTATAACAGTTGTTTTGAGAGCTACAAATCTCTCATCGCAACTCCATTAAAAACAAAAAAGATAAACAAAAAAGAAAAAAGGCAAACAAAAAGAAAAAAAACAAAAGACAAAGAACAGAAATTAGGAAGCGATGAGAGAACGTGTTGTTTACTATACCCATTTTCCTACCAATCTTTATTTGATTATTATTTAATATTTGGTTATATCATATTCTCTAATTGCATAGCCAGAATTGCCAGAATAAATTATATAATTAATATTATTACACTGATCTTATTCATTATATATTACATTGATCTTATTTATTATTATCTTGTGATTTTATTTATTATGATTATAATTAAATTAATATTTTTTTAATTATTATTACAATGTTATTATGACATACTATAATATTTTATTATTATTTGTTATTTCAATTAGATTACTAATAACATATTGTTAATTAAACTTGAATATAAAGATTGAGTTCAAATACAAAAAAATATTCAAATAATTGATAAAATTGAAATAACCAAATATTAAATATACTTGAACGAGCTTCTTCGAGTATCTTCGAGCTTCTTCGAGCTTCTTCGAGCTTCTTCGAGTTTCTTCAACAAGAAGAAAAACGAATAAATAAATAAACTGGCGGCAGTATCAAAGTAAGTCAATAACTTGTGTCTCGAGATTCTTCATTGGTCCTTCAAGTTCAATGGAACTTGCAGGACTAATGCGGAACTCAAATTTCGACTCGGGGTCGCTCGTACATCCTTCTGCTTGATCATCGTAACGATCGCGTCAATTAGCATAATAAGTTAATGTCCACATTAGACGTAAGGATCACGGTAACATATTAAACAGCTATAAATATGCATGGGAGCTCAATTACGCTGCTAAGTGGAAAATGCAATTTTAACGGCGGAGCCATTTACTCCATTATTTTCTTAATCAGCCGGTCGGTCGGCGTAACCGGTTAATTAACTTGTAACGCTTTAATAGCCGCGCTAACGGCGGCGATCGATTAATGGAGACTTTCCCGAGAAAGGAAGGCGCTTGGGTCCCCCGCGCTTACACCCGCTGTTGGTCATCTTTCGAGCGAATGACTCTCTTCAGTCTTTCTCTCTCTCTCTCTCTCTCTCTCTCTCTTTGCTCGTGTGTGCTCCGCGACGGAGAGAACTTTTTTCGCCATGTTCCGAGCTCGAAACGAGCGTCTTACTTGTAGTCGCCGAACAGGCGGATTATTCATTCAGCGACAGACGACTCGTTGTCCGACGATCGCATTCGCTTCGCGCTCGCGCCGCGCGACCAATAATCGCGTACCGTACCTCCGTTAAATTTATATCGCGGCCCGATGTCTATATCGTGAATCTGGCTAGCTTGGTAGCGCTATGAGATCGTATGAGAACGTACGCTCGCATAGAAATTCCTCGGGATTATCCCAAACACAGCAGACGATTAGAATTCCCAAATTTGTTCCAAAGTTGGTTACCCGATTATAATGTCAAATGAAAATTCGTTTTTCACAAATCTGGATTCTCTGTCTAAAATAGAAACTGTGGGAACTCGCGCTTTTTCTGATACACTAATTATTGTATTCGATAGAATAAAAAAGAAAAATATAAAATTCTAATTTTAAAAATGAGGGCCAGAAAAATATCGGGGAAATTTTGAGTTTTTCTGCTTAGAATCAATTAAAATTTGGACCATGATTTTGCATAGATTTTGCACGGAGAAAAAAGATTGGTTCAATTAACGTAACGATGAATGAAGCAAACGCGTTTCGGGGTTGAAAGAAACATAATTCCTCATGAACTAAAATTGTTCCCACGAGCCAGAAATTCCTTTCCGTTTCCTTCAACCAAAACGCAACGTTTGCTTCATTCACTGTCGCATTAATTCAACCTTTTAGTCTTTCCTCCCCGTGCGAGAAATCTCCCAACTAGGTCGCTCCGATCAGATTGCACGAGAATTTCTATGCGACCGAGTTGATTTGCTTATCGTTAGATTCCGCGACAACGAGAGTCGCCGGACGAATCCAAAGGACGATGCTCCGCGCAGCCGTCGATCGCGAATGACTCCTCAGCTGCGCTGCGCAGGAAATATCTCGAGTTATGTTAACGCGACTTTGCGCTGCATTGTTGAAAGGACGATGATAAGAGTCCGCGAGTAAAGTATGCCACTTAACGAGGTCCACGCGCGCGCGCGCCCGACATCCGGTCAGATTTAAGGTTCGAAATTTATATTGTGACGCGTTTAGTATTAAAGCGAAATAATTTATACCCGCGCGGATTAATGGCCGCCATAATCTCCTGAAGCCGAAATACCGTGACGGCGCGGTGGCGGCGGCGGCAAGGCTCGTAAGTCACCACGAAGCCACTTTGTAGCGCGATTACCGACGGTCCGACTGCGCGCGGTACTGCCCGCCGCGCCGAATAAGATACGCTATTTAATGATCGCTGTATTTATACGACGTGCACTAAAACGAGACAAAAAGCTCGGTCGCGGTGGAACGGGAAATATAAATGAAGCGTCCTTGCGCCCTCGCCGGCGTCTGAATTAATGGCCGTCATAGTTCTCCGCGCGTGGTCCGGCCGCGCGCTATTAACCGCAAGGAGGCCGCGTAATCGTACGACTTATCGTACGCACGCGCCCTATGATTGTATCAATTTGTGATGTCACGCGGGATATACGGTCGTCGACGCGTAAAGTCTCGGTTCGCTCGTAGCGAGGGCCGGTATCGCCGTCGATCGCGCTCGCGCCGTCGCCGCCGCCGCCGTCGTCGTCGATGGAAAACGGGAGCCCCCGGGAGAGAGATAGAGAGCATGAGAGGAATGATGAGGAGAGTCTAATTGAATCCTTTATTACGCGATAAATACACGTTTACGCGCCGATGTATCGCGCGATAGCGGAACCGGCATGGTCGGTAATTCAACGCAACATTCTAAATCGTCGCTAGTTAAGGGGATTCTGTCGGAGATGCGTATCCGGTCGCTTCGCGGTGGGTTCAATCTCGATCGCTGACCGAGCTGGTGTTCGTCGCGATGTTGCGTCAGCACTGTGAGTACTGTCAGTAAGTCAGTTTTATGCGTTGAACAGTTAAATAAATCATCGATCTAGTCTATCAAATCATTGGGATATCGTTGATATAAAGAAAAATATTACATGGCTTCTCTCCATAGAAATTCTTTTCAATTTTAAATAAAATTTGTTTTTCGACGGAAATAGACTGTCAATAGAGTTAACTTTTTTAACAAATGTGAATTTTTTAATGGCATAGACTTCAATTTCCGAAGCACACGTAAGTACGAAACGTTAGGCAGAATAAATTAATAAATTGAGATGGAATATCGATATCTTCGTCGATTGCAAAATTCTACAGCAATCTTTATCGTAAAATCCTCTCCGTGCAGAATTTAATTTTAATTCTCATACAAACAAGATGGTGATTGGCGAAATTAATTGAATGCGTTTACGATGCGACGGGCATTTCTTATATTTCGAATCGTACAACGTGGAAAAAAATTGGGAGACGAGAATCCAAGACCCACCGGTGAGCCGTACCTCGTGTATCCTGAGATATCAATTACACCCTCGGCGTTGCCCTCGGCGCGAAAATATCATTAGAATCAATAACAACAACCATCACTCCCTGCCTCCACCTCCTTCCTCATTCCTCTCACAGTTGGCGCACGCACAATTCTCCACCCTCGCCGCTTCCGTTCAACGAACTTCTCCCGATGACGCTGTCATTCCGGCGAGCATTGTGTCCCGCTTCCTTGCGCGACCAAACTTTTCCCATCCCTTCGCGTTCGTCCTTCGCCTCGTTGCCGAGAGGCGCAAAGGGACGCGAGCCGTCCAACAATCTCACGAGTGTCGAGCGTGCTCGACACGTGCTCATTTAACATCGTCGTTGAAAATCTTTAGAGACAATCGTCCGTTAGTGTTGCTACCAGCTTCGCTGCACGAGGGCGTCGGTCGTTTCTTTAACGAGAGGAACTTTCTACGCTGAGAAAACCGGAAAGATTTATCTGAGGATCTGAAATCTAGGAATCTAAAAATGTTTAGAGACGTGCGAGACTTTTTACGATCGCGACATTATTCGTGCGACGTGACGAATACTTGAATGAAATTTACAACAAGCTTGAACGTATTATACAAATTCGGAGAGAAAGTATGTTATATAAAATACATAACTTTCTCTCAATTCTATAAATTCTTTTCAATTTTCTTTTTTCCAATAATGCGGGAATATTAAACTGCCGGTAGAGTTGATCTTGCTAAAAATTTGCATAGAGTAAATGTATCGGTATACTAACGCAAGATATCTTACGTCGCGTCGTGAACTTTTTCAAGTATAAAAATAGAAAATTTCATAATATAGCA